AGGGCCGCAATCTTCTTTTTGATTGCGGCCCTTTCCTCCATCGTCGCCCCTGAAGAAGAAGCCGAACCGGCTTCGAAACGTTGGGCCCCTGATTTAGGGATTGGTTGGTCGTCGTATTTTAATAATCATTTCCCCAACCAGACAGACTTCTGTCTAATGTTTAATTTTAAGTTTTTACACCTTCGACGAGTACGCCTTATCACAGACAAGCAGCACAGAGTATTGCACCGATATTGCCGTTAAGTCGGAGAGATTATGCCGATACCATTTTGAACCAGTCATTATCTGTGAAGTATCGGATGGGTCCCGCCGATGGTATATCCTGACATACCGTACTCGCCGCCGTTTTTGGTTGAATGTCGGGAGTGTCGTATGTAAATCGGCTATGCTGAGGGGGCATTCGGATTTTTTGGCCGACTTATAACATAAGTAGAAAAGAAAAAAATTAAGAGAAATGAAATGTGCTCACTTTGAGCCCCATTAAGACCGCATAAGGAGCTGGGGACATTAACTGCCTTGTCCATCTCCTTTCGACCTCCGTCTTTTGTTAAACCTCTCCACCTTTTTTGTTTCTTTGTGGCTGTGAGCGAGAGCGACGGCCGATTGAAGCAAATCAGAGGGGTTGAGAGAAATGAGTGACCGCTCTTCGTAATACGAAAGCGCTTAGACGAAAATTTTGTCACGTGACTGGCCCTGACGCGCTGATGGGCTCACTGAGGCCGTAACCTTCGCTGTTTGTCAAGTTATGGTGATGGGTGTCGGGCCACGGATGTCCGGTTTCCGAAAAGCGCACTTCAGTGTTCTGCTTTCTTCTGTTGCAGTCGCGGCCGTTTTGTTGTTAACAGCCAGAATATGTCTAGGCCAACTTTTCTGTAAGGTCAATTTTATTCGGCGGAGTCCATGGAATTACTGTTTCGTGCTTGTTGAACATCCTTCGACAAAGAACTTCTCACGAGACTTCCGTTGAATGTGGGTGACCTTACTTTTTCTCGAGTTTGTGTTGGTGTTGCTCTGTTCTGACGGAATCGGATTATGCATCTATCACGGATTACATGAAACCGTCGCACGCTTACACTGGCGCGGTGGCGCAAGGCACCGCCCAATATCTGGCGGTGGCGCAAGGCACCGCCCAATATCTGGCGCACAGCGCATGCGTACTCTGCTCCATCCCGCAGGCCGGTCGAGCTCGGTGGCTCGGCCGGCTTGGCAAGAAGGGCTTCTCTAGATAATTTTCGAGTTTGTAGATCGACACTCAAAGTCGGGGAGTTTGGGTGAGTCCTTGCTCGAATTTATCTGTTTTTGACTTTTATAGAATACTTTTGATCGCAGTTTGGACAGGAGTGACGCGTATTCGAGAAATTCAGCGGCTGTGGATTTGGCGAAAAGTGGAAGTCTCACCCGGTGAGCCGCCGGCCAGGTAGGCCTATTTCCCCCTAGGTGAGAAAAGCCCGCTCGACCAGTGCTATGACCGCAAGCTTGTCAAAATCGTAATTGAGGAGTGAACCCTCCGTGCTGTCGTCGTTTTCGCGGTGATAGCCAACGGTGTCCGCACGTAGACCAGGTTCGCCAAGCGATCTGAGTCTTCGTTTACGGGGATCCTGGGGGGCTATGTGCGATAAATGCTTCGTTTCTCCTAAAGAAACGGAAGTGACGTCATCGCGTCTTATTGGTTAGAGGCTCAAATGACAAAAAATTCACTATGAAAATGTGGGCGCAGGCAAGTGCGGCAGAACTAACAAAACATTGTTGGGAATTAAAAACAGCGCGAAAAGACGAGGACCAGACAAAGAAGTGACACGGACGTAGCGATGACTTACAACTGAGCTTTTTAACAGAAAATCGCAATATATATTTGCGGTGTCACGAACAGAAAAGAAGAAAGAATTCAGCCCATGTGATGCATCAGCAATAAAAATAAAACAATGGTAATATATATATATATATATATATATATATATATATATATATATATAAAAGATATAAAAAATGCGCCATGACACAGCCGTACAGAGTACGTGCTAAAAAACGAGCAAGTCAGGAAACCAGAAAATTCATCTCTTTGCCTGATGGGGCCACAGAAGGACTGGTTACACATGCTGCATTCAACCTCGCTATCTCACCAGCTTCTTGAATTTCAAGAGTAAGCTGGTCCCTATGACGCTTAAGAACATCACACTGTTGGAAGTCGGGTAGGCAACCACAGTCGCGGCAATGAATGCCCAGATGACCAGACACGGTTGTGGAGACTCTGTAAGCGTACTCTCTTAACCTGTCTCGTTAAGAGAGCACGCTTACAGAGTCTCCACAACCGTGTCTGGTCATCTGGGCATTCATTGCGCGACTGTGGTTGCCTACCCGATTTCCAACAGTGTGATGTTGTTAAGCGTCAGAGGGACCAGCTTACTCGGGAAATTCAAGAAGCTGGTGAGATAGCGAGGTTGGGTGCAGCATGTGTAACCAGTCCTTCTGTGGCCCCATTAGGCAAAGAGATGAATTTTCTGGTTCCCTGACTTGCTCGTTTTTTAGCACGTACTCTGTACGGCTGTGTCATGGCACATCAAAGGAAATCAGCTCTTTGATGTCATGTGGAGAGCATGGAAGCCTCAGTCAAGGTCCCTCCTCCAGACAATCCAGAAAACTTTGGACTGCAATGGACAAGCGCCACCACGCTACACCTTTGTTCTTCAGCTCCTGACTACCTACTTCGACGAGAATCCAGAGGCTCTCATCTCATTTCACCCGGTGAGCTTGGTAATCTTATTCCATGAACTTGTTTAGTTATTCATAAATGTATGCAATCAATTGCAGAGGTCAACTCTGTGAGGCAGTGATCATCTGCTCTGTTGACTGCAATTCCTTGTGTGAAGTGCATAATACCACGCACAATATTGTTCATGGCATTTAAATATTAGCTGCAAAAAGTTTATTAATTTAATTTCTCGATTCTCAGCCTTGCTGACCAATTTTTTACCATGGAAGTATCTGTTTTCTTATCAATAACAAGTACACCATTAAATATTCTTGATTTTTGTATTCATTATAGCACTCAACAGCTGCCAGTGTTCTTGGCTCCTGCCCAGATACACCTCACCTTGCGGTTTTTGGTGAGATAGCTTTGCACTGCCTTTTAATTTTTAGATAATTAAGAAAATTGTGAAAGGAGTAGTGCAATTACAGTCTAAGCTCGTTATAATGGCCCTTGTTATTGACCAGGGCTGGGCTTTCGATAGTATACTTGACACCATGGAAAATTACATTTAGGTACTGATACAAGATACAGACGCAAAGTCTATCTTTGATATAAATGCTCCATGCAGTATCCTAGATGCTTCGATACATAGCTGAAATTCCATCGCAAGTATTTGGAAAGCAGGAAACTTGATTAATTTACATTGATTATAAACATTTCTCACCTGGATTTTATGGGTTCTGGTATTGATATTTTTCATAAACGTTTTTTGTTAGCTTTGCATGTTAGCTGCGGAGTCCAACAAGGTACCGTACTCGGCCGACTTATTTTTTATTTATATTAACAACCTTCCTGCACGTATCTCCTCTTTCATAGGCCTCTATGTTGACGATTGTGTTATTTATAAAGAAATTCTTAACGATTCTGGGTTAGGAGGCAATTTGATTGTGTTATTTATAAAGAAATTCTTAACGATTCTGGGTTAGGAGGCGAATTGATGGAGTGGAGGAAATCGAGAGATATCGGTCTAAGTCCACGATTGCACAAACACATAATCACACAAGGGAGTGAGGAGGAGGGGGAAGAAGGAATAAAGGGGAAGGAGGGTGAGGTGGATGGCAGAGTGGGAAGGAAGAGGGATATAGAGGAGAAGGGAGAGGAGGAGCAAAGAGGAGGAGACGAGGGAATGAAAGGGAGAAGGGAGGGGAGCTAGAAGGGATGGGGGACACGGGAGGAGGAGAGGTCAAGGGTCCAAGGTCAGGGTCACCTTTTACCTTGACAAACGCACAGCCAACAAGGGAGAGAGGAGGAAGACAAGGGGATGGGAGTGACGAGGGTAAACGGGGGATAGGGAGAGCTGGAAATGAGGAGGGCAGGGAACCAGGAAAGAAAGAGGCCAAATGCTACTGGCCACGATTGCCTTGATAGCTCTCTGCCGAGCTCAAAGGCACGCTTAGCAGAGATCTTGAAATTTTTATAGACCGTTTTGTTAATCCCGATGACGATACCCTTCCATTGCCCTTAAACGTGTTTCTTTAGTGGGTATCACTTTAGGACTGAAAATCCGGCTTACTAAAACCCTCTAATGATGATATATTGCATTGCATTAGTCCACTTATCGGCCTTCAACTGAGGAGATGTCAGTTCAACAAAGATGCCGGTGTTGTCTGTCTGCCCTTTTACAGAAGGTGTTACCCGACCCGTTCCCACAGTTCCAAAAAACAAAATTGTGCAATTTGCATGTACAGCTCACAAAATAGAAAGAAGGATAGCCTGGTTTTGCCAGAAAGAAAATGAACTGGAAGTGAGCTTTAAAAGTTAATGCTAATTTCTTAACTATTGGGTATCTCCAAAATACTCGATACTGTAAAAATGGGTATTAGGTACTGATACATTGATACATTTTTTCCTGGCAGGCAGTACCAGATACAAGGTACTCGACTGTCTCTGAAGTTAGTATTGGAGATACATGCATCTCTGATATCGCCGAGCCCTGGTTTTGACCACTATTTCGCTCTGTTGTAAAAAAGGACTATGTATTATTCAGATAGGAAGTTGAATCAGTGGTACAAATAGGAAAACCAACTGAGCTTCACAAATCAGTATGTTGTATCCAAGTTTCTGCTGCAACAAGATCTGTTGTAACGAGCTTGTACTGTATTCCAATGCAGAGCATCCATATTTCCTAGTTTACCTCATTGCAATGTCCTTTCTGTCATCCATTTGAACCGTTACGATTGCAATAAATTAACTACATCTGTAACATGTCGGTTTGATGATCATCACATCTTGCTTTTTTTTTTTACTTAGGTTCTACGCTTCTAGATGACCCTCTCCAGATTGCGCTGGTTGTTGACAGGGTGCTTGTGTTTGAGGCAAGCAGTCTCGAGGTCGCTCTCTGCTCGCTCCTGGGAGCGTATTTCGTCTTCAACATCAAGTACCCAAAGGAGGCCTCGTACACGCTGGAGTTCCTTCAGAGGTACAGATATGTCAGAATTCAGTGTTTGTTCATGGCAGGACTGGTGGTCGATTATGCTAGTGCACCGCAACCCTGAACATGTGGACCTAGACCTCGCACTGCAGAGTCCAGGAATCCACAGTCGGACTAGCGCCTCACCTGTTCTAATCTTGATAGGCATTTTACTGGCATCTGTTCGTGTATCACTACTGCATGTTGGCTCTAAAGGCCTCGGGTTAGCAGCCATACTGCACGAGATATTTTGCTGCGCAGTGTGAACCAGCCACCGACATGTGAAAGTCAGCCCAAAGGCAGGCTGTATAAACACGCACAAGGACATCTCGACATCTTTCACCCAAGAATGTGAGTTGTTCATGTTCAATTGACATGCGTTTCTTTGACCTCTTATACAGGCATTTTGGCCAGATAAACCCATCTAAAGGTAGCAAGTCCAGCTCCCGTGGTCACAACAAGGTCAATGGAATCCCAGCCAGAATTCTAGGTCTGCTGAACAAGATTCGTTCACTCTAATGGTGTGTTTTCTATTTTCGTCTTTCCCTCTTATATTTTGTGATGCTTGATTTTTGCTATTGCAGATAAAAATTTGTTTTATCGGATCAAAAAAAAGAAAAAGACGTTTACAACACCCCGTAACGCCGAATTAGAGCATAGCTCTTGAGGAGGAAGAGGGGAGGGTATACCCTTCCTCCTCTCCTCCCTGTCCCTCCTCTGCTCCTCATCCCTCTTCCCTTCTCTTCTCTTCTCCTCTTCCCCTCCTCCTCCCCTCGTCCTCCTCCACACGTGTTGCATCATGGGAAAGGTCCTATAATGCACCGCGCAGTTACGGCGACGCCGACGCCGCTGAAGCCGGTAAAGAGGCGCCCAAGAGCTGCGCTGGAAGGAATTCCTTTAATTCGATTTTCTTTTTCTAATTTGACCGATGGGGATACGAGACTAAAGGCGAAAATGTTTCTAAAAGTTCCTGTACTGCCTTCAGTTCTTACAAATGGTACACAATATAAAAGAAAAAGCAAGGACATATGCAGCAGCCCTGCAGCATAAATTAAAGAGACAGTGTTTTATTTATAGTGCTAGATGGAATTAAAATGAAAGACAGATTAGATAACTTGATTTTATATATATTATTCATATTAGGTACAATGAAGGCTCGCATACCGCCGCCTACCATTAGAATCTTGAGGTCCTTGTAAATTTACAAAAATATTTGTTAATCTATGTTTTAATTGTTACAGCGAGGGCCAAAGGAATCTAGCCCACAAATTTATATACATCGCAAAAATCAGTAAAAATAATTTGGGTTATGTGGATAGTTATACAGCGTGTAGTTAGTCAGCCATTTCAAAGTTGTGACGAATAACTCGCTGTAGATGAGCGATTTAGCCAGTGCAGTAGAACCGCTAGCCTGCGGTCTTTAACAAGCACACGCAGTAGTGAGACACGACCGCATGCGGGTACGATGCTCATCCAGTTCAAATGAGCATGTGTGGGGATTTAACCCAGGATCCCTAAGTTCTGCAGTGCGAGCTCTCGCTCCACATGCTCCGATCTGGTGTGCGCTAGCCGACTTGACCCCCCCCCAAAAAATCAGTCTCGCTTGCTACGGTAGTGTGGTTTGTGACGTAGGTTCAGCTAGGTTGTGGATTTGTTTTGTTAAAATAGTACCAAAGAAAACACTTACCTCAGCAAAGAGTTACAAATAAAAACAATATATTTGTTATGGACCAACGTGGTTTTGAGCTTATTCAGATTGGAGCTTGAAAATGTTGTGGGCCAATGGGACGTTCGATTTAGCTCAAACATTGAAGGTAGGAACAAAGACACTTATTACTTCGCTCTCATCACCCGGTTTGTCTCGTATATAGTTTAGTGCCCCTCAACCGCGTTTTTAAACTTCCACCTGAGACAGCCTTGATTCCATGTCTGTCCATAGGAAACCTATTGTATTTATTTGTAACATTTGACCGGGGCAAGGTTCTCCTTCGAAATTTTTATAAAAGAAATCCACCACCTAGCTGAACATACCGTAGAATACCGTGCATCCGCCCACTCTCCACTAAGTGCCCATTCCCAAATTTGTAATATCTGACAAAGTCAGCGCAGTACGTTGAAATGTAAAATTAATAACCGGAAAAGCGCCCATCTCCCATTTTTTTGCGATTATGTCTAAATATTGAGTGGGCGCTTGCCCGGTATTTTACGATACGTCACAAATTACAGTGCCGCTTCTCGCAAAAATGGGTTAGATTCCCTTTGGTTCTCGCTGTAGAATGTTTAAAAATTGGAAGACTTTATTTGTTTTTCATAGTTTATATGTATCATCAACCTAATTACTTTTTATATGCCATATTTTTAGAGTGGTTCAGTGGGCAGGTTTCATATGTTGCCCTAGTAGTCTTAAAATAGTCTCGTTTTCACCTGTAGCATATGTGACTTGTTGTAATTTGCGGATGATTTCTAAAAGATCCTAGAACACAATACCTGGCCTTGAGGTGTTGCGATCAACGAAAACTGCATTTTCTCAGACAAGCGCAGGTTTCCTCGGAGAGAAGCACAAGATGAGCCGTTGACAAGTCTTCTCTTTTCAACTGACCAAAGCAGTGTTTTACTGGAGCTGAGCTATGGTCTCTTTAAAAGTGGTCTTTGTTTTATTCGTCACAGACATTATTCGCCACATTAGTTTTTTTTTATGCCTCTGTTCTGTAATATCAATTAGTTATAAACTAAAACTGCATTTTCCCTGATAAGCGCAGGCTTCCTCAGATGAAAGCGTAGGCTGGGGTCCTGACAAGTCATTCTTTTTTTAACTGGTCCGGGCACATCGTTTTTATTGAAGGTAAACTATGGTCTTCTGCAAGTGTCTGTTCCTTATTCATCACAGACATTATTCGCTGCACTAGATTTTTCTTCTCTTCTGAAATGTCAATTGGTTTTCAACTAAATCTGAATATTCCCCGGCAATTGCAGGTTTTCTGCACGTAAAGCGCAAGATGGAGCGTGGACAAGTTTTTTGTTGTTTTAATCGTCCAAGGCATGGAGTTTTACTGAAGGTGAGCTATGGTCCCGTTACAAGTGGTCCATGTTTTATTCGTCAGACATTCACTGCATCAGGTTTTGTCTTGCTCCTCTTGTGCAATATCAACTTAAAACTCTATTTTTCCTGACAAGCGCAGGTTTCCTCAGACGAGAGCGTAAGCTGGGGTCCGGACAAGCTGTTATTTTTTTTTTTTTTAAACGGCCCGGGCACGTTGCTTTATTGAAGGTGAGCTATGTTCTTCTTTAAGTGTCTGTGCCTTATTCGTGACAGACATTATTCGCTGCACTAGATTTATCTTCTGAAATGTCAGTTGGTTTTCAACTAAATCTGCATTTTCCCTGGCAATTGCAGGTTTTCTGCACGTAAAGCGCAAGATGGAGCGTGGACAAGTTTTTTTTGTTTTTTTAATCGTCCAAGGCATGGAGTTCTATTGAAGGTGAGCTATGGTCCCATTACAAGTGGTCTGTGTTTTATTCATCACAGACATTATTAGCCGCATCAGGTTTTATCTCGCTCGTCTTCTGAAATATCAATTGGTTTTCAACTAAAACTGCATTTTCCTGTTAAGCGCAGGTTTCTTCAGATGAAAGCGTAGACTGGGGTCCGAACAAGGTGTTCTTCTTTTAACTGGCCCAGGCACATTGTTTTATTGAAGGTGAGCTATGGTCTCCTACCCGCCTTACTTGTCACAGACATTATTTGCTGCCCAAGATTTTTCTTCTCTTCTGAAATGTCAGTTGGTTTTCAACTAAATCTGCATTTTCCCTGGCAATAGACCCTTTCCGAAATTCTGTCTGGCTACTTTGATCACTATCATCATCTGTGGAACAGCATCTGTGCCATACCAATGGCGGTCTTCTAGTGACTGATAAAGGAAGACGTTGAAGATGATCCTAAGCGGATCTTGCGAGGCCTGTATTCGGGGGGTCAGTACGACGCGACGTAGGAATGGAACACAAGAGCTACGTAAGCGTTTATTTCTAATAACTCAGATTCAGTCACTCTGTGGGCGGCATACAATCGGCTTTAAAGCACACTGGTGTAGGGAATTTTCTCGAGGCATCTGAGTGGGTTGGAGCTTAATTCTGAATGCAAGTTCTTGGTCACCATCGAACTGAACGTGATCGAGAAAGAACTCACACCGAACAATTCCTCGCGTGCCGTTGACTTGCGAAAGCGACGGTGCCGATACAAGTTCGTTTCCGCCATTGATATGGCAAAACCTAAACTGCTTTACAAACCACCAGATGGCACTGAATTTCGGAAAGGGTCTATTGCAGGTTTCCTGCACGTAAAGTGCAAGATTGAGCGTAGACAAGTTTTTGTTTCGTTAATTGCCTGAGGCCCAAGGCACGGTGTTTTACTGGAAGTGAGCTGTGGTCTGTGTTCTATTTGTCACGAACATTACTTGCTGTATCATATTTCATGCCTCTCTCCTGCAATGTCAATTGGTTTTCAACTAAAACTACATTTTCTGTGATAAGCGCAGGTCTCCTCGGAGGAAAAGACTAGGCGCCGAGATGTGCTGGCCTTCCTTTATGGTCCAGACCAGTTGTTTTCATCAAGGTGAGCTGGTCTCTCTTTGCAGATCGAGCAGGATTATTTGTATTGTGTGCATGTCAGGCTCACCTTGTTTTGTATTGTTTCGACAGCCTTGTGCTTAGCTTATGACTATATACATCTTTCTTTTGCATATGCAGGGAGCATTGAGATAGCCCTACACCTCGGAAGAAGTACCCATAAAAGAATTTTAGATATAATAAAGAGCTATTACAATTTCCCTCGTTTTTTGTTGTTTAAATTAAGCTCGAAGAAAACAGCTACAAAGAGCTAAAGAAAAATAATTTACAAACAACCGACCAAACTATTTTGCATTTTCACTGCTGTCTCAATTCTGAACCCTTTCTCAAGGGTGTTTATGTTGTGAGAATTTGCTGCCGATATGATGCCTTAATTTGATCCGGCCAGCTTGAGCTGCACTTTAGAAAACCTCCAGGTCGCTCTGGTCTGTTGCAACTCTAGAACAGCAAGAGCAAGCCCCTCCCACAGAGCCCGCCACTCTTTCAACATCAGCAGAGCGGAGGCTGGAGAGCAGGGGAGTGGGGAAGAGAAAACAACCAATCATGGTGCAATGGTGGTTTCCTTCTCTCCACTTACCTATTATTCTTGGCTTGCAACAGATTTTAGCAGCTCACAGCTGTGTCTGCAGGTGCATCATATGAGAAACACTAGCTAGTTGCTGTTTTGCTGCACCCTATCTCACCTATTTTGAAGTTAAAGTTTCTGTGCCAATTATTTTCTCTTCATTTTAGACAAAGCAGCAGAGCTGCTCCAAAGTGCATAAATTTACTATTGCATTGCATTGCAATCCCCATAGTATATGGCTCACGTTTCCAGGTGCATCAATGACCCTGAAGTTATATTTCAGAATATCGTTGCACAGAAACTTGTGTAAGTGAAAAATATTGGACAGCAGAACATGAGCTACTTCAGTGCCTCAGCTAAAAAGAGATGTAGAAACAAATATTTTGTAAAAAAGAAATGATGAAATGCTTGGCAGCTTTATTAAGAGGGGTTGCCCATTAAAATGCTAATGTGCCCCCATATTGTGAAAATATGTGAAAAAAGATGTCGTCAATGCAACGGTACCCATTTTACCGAAGTGCAAGGTTGCTTGTTAAAATTATGTGCATGCATAATTTTAATGGGCATCCTTATACTTCGGAAGAATGAGTATTGTCATATTAACGACTTTTTTCACATTTTTTCAAAATATGGGGGCAGGTTAGATTAATGTTATAATACCCATTTTTTCAGAGTATAAGGATGCTCATTAAAATGATGTGTACACATAAGTTTAACGAGCATCCTCGTATTTTGAAAAAATGGGTATCGTTGCATTAACGTCCCTTTTCACATATTTTCTGAATATGGGGGTGCGTTATTTTAATGAGCATCCCCTCTTAATAGAGCTGCCAAGCATTTTCTCGTTTTTTCTACGAAAGATTTTTTACAGTGCGTGTGTTGTGTAGTGGGAGGGGAAAAATATTTTCTTCTGCGCGCCCTTCCCCCTCACACCAACCCCCTACCCCTCATTCTTTCTTGTGCTCCTCGCTCACGCGGGGGGTTGGGAAGATGGGGTAGGTAGGGTCCGTCGAGAAAATGGGAAGGGGTCTTTGTTTGAAAAGAACCCGTGTTTAGTAAGTTGAAAGTTGAAACAGCTTTCGTCGGAAGCTAGTCGCCGTTTTTTCTCCTTGTGTCGTCTCCGATCATTGCAGGATCCGGTTTGGATTCGCGGTGCTGCAGCACTGCACTTGATCTGTTCTGAAGCCACAAGTCAAGGGAACTCGATTAAAGTATGTCGAAGTGCTTCTGTTTATGGAGTATTCATTAACTGCGGCTTCAGAAAGTGTTTTATTTTGAGCGCGTTCTCTAGCTTCCAAAGCGCGCGCCATGCTCTATTCTTTTTGGCACCATGATTGCTGATTTCATTATTGCAGCACAGAGACCTCATATTCAGTCATATCGACCGAAACGCCAGTTCTACTGATGGCTTTTTTTTGTGTTTTGCAGACCCTGGCATGATCGCTTGACCATAAGGGCCTGTCCACACATGCAGCGGAGTGCTACAAGCATAGCACTGATCTTGCGTAAAGCGCGTGCTGACGGGAGCGGTCATCAGCTTTCTATTGCACCGTCAAAACTCTGCAATGGCAGAAGAAAATTAGGTCACGACACGTGAGCAGCGCAACATCAGCGCTTCGCTGCGTGTGAGAACCGGCATTAATAGAGACATTTATTAGATTGTACACTAAACTTTCGCGTTGATCGCGGGAGCTCGTGCCGTCACTTTGAAGCATAGTTTGAGCACGCACACACTGGGTCTGTAATTGGCAGCGAACGGTCAACTAAAAATCTAATATTGCGCTGGTCTGCTGTCAACAGATCGCATGTTGAATGTGAACCATTATAGCACTTATGCAGCCTATTTGTTATTTTATTTTGCGTGCGTTATATCTCATACTTTTGTCGAGCGATCGGGTATTTCGCGCTGCCCTGTTACTGATAATCCAAATTCCTTGTAAACAGGCAAGAAGCTGCCGGTGCCCCAATAAACGGTGCTTGGACCACGAACGAGTTGGACAGACGTCCCAGTGTCCAAGCCATGGTCGACGCAAGTGTACTCTTCGGAATTTGGCCTCATCGTGGATTCTTCAGCCCAGGAACTTCGACTTCAGTCATCCTTGAATGCGATGTGTATCTATGAGGCAATAAAGCTACGTTTAACCTGAACTGCACAATTTCGTTTCGGAGATTTGTGGCTCGGGACCAAATGTAAAGGATAAACCTTTAGTCCCAGGGGTCTAAATCCAAGGGCGCAACGTTTAGACCCAAGGGTCCAAGTGCAAGGGCCTAACAGTTGGTCCTCGCGGTTCATTTGAAACGGTGTAACAGTTAGTCCCAAGGGTCCAAGTAGAAGGTCCTAACAGTTCGCCCTCGAGGTTCAATTGAAACGGTGTAACAGTTGGTACCAGGGGACCAGGTGGAGGGGCCTAACAGTTGGTCCTCGAGGATCGATTGAAACGGTGCAACAGTTAGTCTCAACGGTGCTAGTGCGAGGGACTAACGGACGGGGCGCAACAGTTGCTCCCGTTCCCGTTGCTCCCCTAGGGGACAAATGCTAGTGGGAGCGTACTTAGTCCCCTGAAGAAGTAAGTCACGCTCCCTGTTTCTTTTTTTTTTTTTAGAGTGTACTACGCCGTTTTGACACATCGAGATGGCCATGAACCGTGTACTCTGGTTCACACTCGTGCTAACTTCTGCCACTTCTGCAAATGAGTTACCGGCAATCCAGTATTACGACCACGGTGCATGTAATTCTTCCTTGTCTTTAGTGCTAATTATTTAGCTGTGGGCAGAGAGCATATCAAAATTAAGTTGTCCAACTTAATATGTAGTTTTCCTGTACTCCTAATAATAACAGTAAAATACCTATGTTTGCTTGAGATATGCGCATCTGAGAACGAACATGGTTAATGCACAGCTATCCATAAAGAATGGGTCCACCTCCACGTTTGGATGCGTCTGAATGGATTTGTGACGTGCTATGGGTGGTGTTTTTGCCGTACCTTCTAAATTACGGTTCAATCTTGAAAATTAGCCATGGGGTCAATTGTCCGACCCGGGAAAAGGGCGACACAGGTGGCTGCAGTTACGCAAATAGAGGAAGAAATGTGGAAACGGCCAGACAATGGTTCTCGGCCTTACTTATTCTCTCCCTCTTTGTGTCGACGCAACGCCGCAGCACAGCATACGACTATTTCTCCGCTCCAGCTGTCAATCAATCGAGGAAAATCTTTTTTTAGTGCCGTAGCAGACGAGAAAGTGAAATTTAATATGAACAGGGCCCCTCGCATTAAAGTAATCTGTATTAATGGGTCTGCGCACAAATACACGTATGCAAGGTTTTCTTTATAAGTCTGGATTCGTCCCGGAAATGCCTTCGATCGTTGTATTATCGGTTGCCGTTTTGTAGAAAAAGTGAACGTTTCAGTGAACCCCATTCCATCGAACTGCTGACAGCGGTTTCATCAAATTTTGTTTGTCGCTATTTTACTTTTTCCGAACCTTTTCATTGGGTCAATATGAACATGTCCAGGGCATCTTCCTACATACAAGTGTTCCGCAGGGTTTCAAAGCGGTTACATTTTATTGCTTATTCCTTTCCTACGTACTTAATAGTTCAAGCGCATTCTTGAGCGAACGCGAAGTTTTGAGCTGTCCATCGGTACCGTTTTACCGGCCAAATTTTGTTTTATTTTTGCTGCGGCACGCGCTTGTCGAACTGAATGCTACGATGGGCGTCTGCACCCGAAGACACGCGAACAGTAATTTAGTTTTAACTATTCGACGATACTTTTAGTACAGGCACATTTTCTTCCCTATGTTTGGTTCAACTTTGCTCTCCGTTATTGGTTTACGCTATGGGGACTGGACAAAACAAAGGCAAAATTATCGCTGAAATTATTAGCAATATATCTTTATTGCCGATTGATCAGTCAACATGCATGCAGCATGCCGAAAAAAAAAAGATGTTTTATCTTCTCACCTTCTGTCCTATTTCCGGTTTTCAAATATCTGCCTGTTATTGAGCAATGTTGTTTCTAGTTCAACTGTGTTCTTACGTAATCGAAGCTGCTGTATCTCTTCCGGAATAAATGCCAAGCAAGTAATGTTCTCTATGAAAGCGAAATAAAAGGAAATCTCGTAGTCGCGGAATTAAAAGAATAAAAACACGAAAATGTCATTTCGGCTGCGCCTTTTTTATTTTCAGTAAACCATTTACTGCCACACACAATTACAGACTAAGAGACTATTTTTGTTGTTTTTCTAAACACCGAAATACTACTTCAAATGGCACGCGATAAATTCGATTAAGCAGTTTAAAAAAAAACGGTTTAAATTAAATGACGTTTGATGAAGACGTTTCTTTTGACCGGCGTTCGATGAAACGGCGTTCAACAAAGCAACAATATTTTTCATTGAAATTGCTAGGAGAGACCAGATAAGAACCGGGGACTCTCCGTGGAACCAGGCGGGTTTGAATACAGGCCGAGGTGTCCGTAATCTCATGAAGCACAAAATATAAACCCGGTTGCGCAAATTCTATTGGCAGTAAACCATTTACTGTCAAAGTATCAGGGAACTCTCCAATACTGCTTCGTATGGTGTGGAGAAGAAGCCATTTTTTCGTTATTGCTTAGAAGGTGCCATGGGTGCA